GTATCCTCTTTTACTTTATTATATGAATGCAAATTAAGGAACTTATGAATTATTAATTATGTACGTAAATTGTAGGAATGTAAAATGGCAGTATATATTAGCTAAGCAATATATTGAAACTGAAATTCAGAAATTTCTCTCGACATTAAAAGTTAACATCTAAAAAAAAAATCAAAAGCATTTCATAAAATATAAAACACTTGTTGCAGTTTTAAATCTCATGAATTTACAACAATATTTTTTTCTTACATTTAAATCAGTAAATAGCAATTCGTATCAGTTAAAGCAAATAAGTTTGAAATAAAACATTTTGACTTTCACATTTGGCATGCGTCCCTGTTTCTTTAAAACAACAAAAAATCTCTTAGTTTGGCACCTGATGAAAGAAGCTAAAACTGATTTCAGGAGAAAAGAACAAACATGTTTGGACGTGAAAAATGGTTACACCGAGAACAATATTCGAGGCTTAAAGTTTCAAAGGAGAAATACCCGACGGAGCAATTATCGAGATTGATGCTTTGAAACATTTATATTTTTCATGCTTACAGATGTAATCTTCAAAGCCTTTTGTGTTTAACTGAGATGTCGCTGAATTCATTTTTAAATCACGAACCAGTTTTTATTTTAGTTCACATTTTTATTCCTGTAGAGTTTTAATCTTTTAAAGTATTTATACTAATTAGTTGAATTAGAAATTTTAACTAATTAGAAATTTTAACTCAAAAATCGTCAAAAAAGATGATGATGGGAGCCTTTATTCAGCTTTAAAGCTTTTATACTTCTGATTATAGAAAACGTATAATTTATTTTTATTTTTTAACTATTCAGAAACATGAATTCTATTACTTCTAATTAAACGCAATTCAGAATTAATAATATGTTTGTGAAATGTTGAAAACTGTCGGAAATTTTGTGAAAAACTAAAATGCGTCATCTCAATCAATAAAAATTAAGTTTATTTTTTTCTTAACTTTTGAACTATAAGAAAATAACTGTGAAAAATTTAACAAAGAATGTGTTTTTTACAGAATAAAAGCTGTTTAAAAAATAAAATCTGTCTTTACAAAATAAAAACTGTGCAGATAAATACAGATTTTTACTGTTTTGAATTGCAACCCATGTGCTGCGAAAAATTACCGTTTTTATTTACATTCTTTTTCCGCATATTTAACGGTTTAAAACTATCTAGTAAATAACAGCTTGAAATACTTTTTCTGCATATTTAACGGTTTGAAACTGTTTTTCATTAAGCAGTTTGTTTTCGTTTTTCACCCAAATAAAAAACGGATTTAAACTGTCTATTCAAATTTCAGTTTTTGCCATGCAGTTTTGCTTTCCGTAAGATAACTTTAATTTTTTTTAAATTATTATACTGTTTATACAAACAACTGCGTTTTTTAATAATAAGAAATTTCTATAATAATGTGTGTAAATGTGAATTTAGGCTATACTGCACACTTTAATAAACTTTCGAGCTGTTTTCAAAGATTAATAAAACAACCCTTCCACAATAAATTAAATAAATCAGTTCAAATTTATCCATAAAATTGTTGATAAACTGCTATATTGTTTATACGCAAACTCTATACGATTAAAGATACTCTAAGCTGTTGCCCATAACAATCAATATTCTTTAAATTAATGTATCCCACTACATGGTTGGATTTACTTCAACAATATGCACGATTGTTTTCATTGATTCTATACTAGCAATGAATTAACTGCTTGTTTAAGTAATTGATGTTGTTCGTCAGATTTAGAATGAGAATTTGTAATACACAAATAGATTTATCGACTTGAAAATGTAGTACATAGTCATTTAACAAATGTCTGTTAATCATGTTTGTGAACTAAATCATTTCTCTTTCAAAATCTAAAATCCCATAACCGCCATCAGTTTCGAATATTTAAAGGTATATTATCTATGATATATGTTAATATATTGCAGAATAAGGAATAACTTTATTTTAACAATGTGCGAAACATTGTTTATCGAGTGTATAAAATTTGTAACATACAAAAACGTTTAATATTATATTTTTAAATCAATAGTAATCTAGGAAAAAATATTAAAATGACAAATATTTTTACGATGTGTTGTTATATTTTTATTTTATGCGTACTGATAATGAATGAGATTTATAATTTTTTTTTTTTTTGAAATTATTTGTTAACTAAGAGCCTTAATGACTCAACTAAGATAGTAAGTAATTTTACGGCAAACATTGTACAGGCGGTTTTTCTTGAATAACNTTTTATTTTATGCGTACTGATAATGAATGAGATTTATAAATTTTTTTTTGAAATTATTTGTTAACTAAGAGCCTTAATGACTCAACTAAGATAGTAAATAATTTTACGGCAAACATTGTGCAGGCGGTTTTTCTTGAATAACACTAAGAGGTTGACTGGTTAATCAGTATTCTTACAAAATAGAAATGTAACTTTGGCAATATTTTTTTAAAATTGAATAGGGCACGCATAAACCTTAAAATACAATTTCTCAGCTTTTATTGCAAACCTTGTTTTTGAACTTTTCTTCCCTGTGTATCTTAAGGTTCTCAAACACAAGATTTTTTTTTAATGATGATAGTTCTGATCAAGTCAACTATGATTTTTAAAATGTTAAAAAAATTACATATTAACCTTTGCAAAAAAATAAATCTTGATACAATGATAATAATAAAATCTTATATCAATCTTGTTTTTTAATTATTCTCTCTTACATGAAACAGAAGAATGGAGTTGTCAACCTTGTCTCAATTTCAAAAGGTTTTCTAGGATTCAATTCTATCTCTATGTAAAAGGGAAGCGATGCAAGCTTAATGCGATACTTATTGCGCATAAACTAGCATAGTTAAATTTAACATTGCATCGAGCTTGCATTGTCTCAAGGAAACAATTAAATAATTGCAATAATGCAATTGCAATAATTAACAATTAATGTTGGGATTTTCTGATCTTTTTTACCCCATTCACTGAGAACTGTTGTAGGATTCTATACATCTCTAATATCTTTTAAGAAACATTTTCGAAATTTATGTTTTTCTTTATTTTTTATTTTACAAATAACAAATTTAGAAAAAAATTAACATTCTGGGATTAAATTGTTCGATTTATCAATTACAGCAATTAGTATTCAAGTGCACTTCACGTAGGAAAAAGTTTCACATAATTTATATTATTAGAAATAAAATAAAAAAATGAATACCCGAATTTCTTATATCACTCAAAATAAGACTTTTGCGTAAAAATCATATTAGCAATTATAACTTTAAAAAAGTTGTCTCATTCCTGTAAAGACTTTTTTATGCAACTAGTTCTTTTCTTTACGACAAAAAAAAGTTTTATTCAATTTCGGCATGATGAAACAATTAATTCAAATTCTGTTTCTTTTACTCTGAAAAGAATTTAACTAATTATATTAAATCCAAAATAATTGACAGCATTTAACATTTTGTTAAAACAAGAGTTAAGAACTTCATTACTTCAAATTGGTTAATTCGGATAATCTAACGTTTTACTAACGTAATTAGTCTATTCTCTTAACTTAATAGATTTTTCTTTGCTTCATTCTATATGCAAATTTCTTATTTTTCTTACAAAAAGGGCCTCTCAAAAGCGAGTATTGATTTAAGTTTTTGAATTTACATTTATTTTACTCTTTAAGTTTTGCTAAAATATTTCATTAATATTTCTCTTAATTTAAAAATAAGGAAAATGTTTGAAATTATAAAAAAATTGCAGAATACATTGTGCGGGATAACGAGCTATATTTACACACAATTTGAATAATTGAGTTATGCGTTTAAGTTAAGCGTTAATGTTACAACTATAAGTTGTACAGAATTTCACAACTTTATTTTAAAATATAGGATTTTTAAAAATGTGTCAAAGGGAAATTATTTTTTTATAGTATCTACCTTTATTACCTAAAAACTCAGAAATCTACTCGATTTTGTTCCGAAGCTGTTGAATTTTGAAATGTTTTGAATTTTATGAAATAAGTGCTAGGAATTAGGTTAGAAACTTTGCAGCAAGAAACAATAGTAACATCTTGGTTTAATTTTTACAAAATATTGTACTTATGATTTAGTATAATAATTCAAAAGTTTAGAGATACCTAACAATTGTAGAAATTTTTAAAGTCTAAAAAACTGTTTGATGTAATATTTTAAGTCTCTTTCTTAATTTTCATAAAATTTTTAATTTTCAAGATTGCAACTTTAAAACATTTAATGGTCAATTATAAATACAGAACTTAAATTTGTTTTAAGTATTTTAGTAAGAAAAATTAAATGTTTTTATACGTGTATTCTAAACTATTTCGATATGTCTATACACTGAAATGCAAAGAGAAACACGTCACATTATGTCACATGACATACTATAGTTACTACACAATAATGTCACATGACTTACAATAGTTTCAGTTTCGTAATTAAGAACCTTCTTCAATGCAAACAGAATGAAAGAGGAAAACGCAGAGATAGAAAGAAAGAAAAAAACCACGAACAAATTACAGCAAGGAAAAAAAAAGAAAGGTTGAGCAATAGAACAAGGGGACAAGTTTCAACAGGATAATCAATCAATCAAAAGAAAGGAGACACGAAAGAAGTGTGGTGGAAGTTGGGTTTGAAACCCAAATGTTGCAGGAGGTGCTATGTTATAAGGCTTCAAATATCATATGCCTGTTTATGTGGTATTTGTTCTCTATTCCTGTTCTTTAGCTTCATTTATGTGTGGTTCAAAGCCAGTTCTTCATTTAGCCACCAAAATGTAACTTATAATATTTTTCCACAAACTAAACTAAAATGTCCTACAATATCCGGAAGTATTTTCAAAATAAAAATTAAAACTTTTCAGCTGAATTTCACCCATTTTATGAGTCGAGTGATTTTTTTACAGGTTAATTCTATTGATAGGGTAATAATTCTGTCATTTGATACTGTATGTAATTTAAACAGTCTTGAAAACTAATGGTAATTATTCCTTTTCAGGTTTTATTGGGATTTGCTTATGTTATTAGTATTGGTAACTAATTTGATAGTTCTTCCGGTGGCTATTTCCTTCTTCAACGACGACTTGTCAGCTAGATGGATTGCTTTCAACTGTCTTTCAGATACTCTATTCTTGTTGGATATTGTTGTTAATTTCAGAACGGGTAAGAATGTATTTCCCAAACATAAGTGTAACAATCTTGCAGGAAAAAACATGCATTTTTGCATAAAATAACAGAGCTGATTATAAACAAAAATGCCTTTTGAACATTTTAATATTCATATAATGCCCTTAAAGTTTAGGAGTGAATCTGAAAATTTAAATTTTCTGTTTGTAACCAGTGGTCAATAGACTCTAATAGCTTAGTAGCCATTTTGTCCTCAAACTTAATGAATCCCCGACTGATTTCGATAGGTTCTTTTCATTTAAAAGCCACTTTATGAAACTTTTTTTTTGCTTGGATTAAATTATCAAGAAAAAACCTGTTGGAAAAAATTTAAACAGATAATTTGTTATATACAAGATCATTTTAATTCTAAGCATAAGTTTATATATTGTGGAATATAAAAGTTTTACTAACGAAACAAAATTTATTGTGACCATCTCATAACAATATCTATGAAGCTTGTCTTTCGCCGCAAATGTCTTTTCCCCTGTTGTATAAAATGATAAATCCACTGCCATTTGCTTCATAAATTTACTATACATATATTAATTTACTGTCATTTGCTTTAAAACTGCGAAGTTAAGCCATCTTCAACTTAGAATCGATAGCGATATCGCCATTTGAACCTTAACGACCACTAAGCGTGAATGATATTGCCATAATTAGGATCAGGGCTATGACGACATGTATCAACCTGTTCTTGCACTCGACTTAGCTCTGGGAGAGTAATTCTTGGCGAGCTTTTTAATTAGCTCATTTGCATTCTTCCAAAATAATGGGTTTGGCTTTCATTAAGCAGCATTCAAACTTATTGTAAATACTTGAATACTTGCACCGATATATTTTTTTTAGATTGAACTTATTTTTCGCATGGCGATCAGCAGCTGAACTAAATCTGTGTATTTGTATTTTCAACAAATCTGGATAAATATATTTCCACTTCTTTGGATCAACATCCTCGCAGTTTTTATTTTATTTTGGCTTATTTGGCTATAATTAAAAGAAAATGTGCTGCATGATTGTCTTAAAAGATAGAATGAAGTTTAATTGATAAGGGAGGAAATTAATTTAATTACGTCAAGTGCGTAAGATAGGTTAATTAAAGAGCACAATGTATAATTGTAGAAAGAAATATATATTGGTTATTTTTTTGTAACTTATGATGCATTGTGATACTTTGAGTCTGCTTGTTAGATTAGGATATTATAATTATTCTCTTATTTTTTCTTGAGTTGTAATTAAGCAACTTTTAATTAAGTTTATTTTGTAATTTTAATTTAACCCGTTATAAATTAACCTTTTCAAATATTCTGGAATACGTTTTTCGTATTTTATGATTACTTATTTTAAGACTTTCCTAGTAATTCCATTCAAAATTTGATAAAAATATTTTCACTTATTTTTTTCTTAATTAGTACTTTATAAACTCTTTGAATTTATTTAACTACAAAATAAACTTTATATATAATTGAGGAAACAGTTTTTGTATTTGATTAATATTTTTATTGAGTTTTCTCCTTAAAGGGCCATAAAAAAAACAAAGATAGGAAAACGAAAGGTAAATTTTTAGTCTTATACATTGCTAAAGAAACAGTTTAAAGATAAACATATAATAAATGAAGAAGATAATAAAAGCGATGGTTTTATTAGTTGGCGAAATGTCTCTGATACCGATATGAAGTGACATTTTTATTACCCTCGGAACCGGATAATAAATTCCTTGGTTTTTGACGCTAAATGTTGATAAACATTTCTTAAAATGGCTATCATTCAAAAATCTCAGATTGGTACTTTTATTTACCTTTTCCAAAATAAATTCTTTGGTCAATTTTAATTATTAACACAACTGTATGAAATTTTAACTCCACACCAATTCGTTTTAAAAATATTATGACAAATCAAATGATAATTTTTAAAATATGAAGTGTGCAAGCACGACACAAAATGTCTTTTGTGTGGTTAATACCCTGAATTATTTTATGCTCCTCATTAAGACATGAAATTTTCCATTTGATTATAGACAAGATCATGTAAATATTAATCATGATAAGAATTTATAAAACTTATCTGCTTACTTACGAAAATGTCTTAAACCGTAATGTTAATAACGAATACGAAAGTTAAATACAGTTATAAGGGTGGTGTTAAGTTCATAATTATTATTATTCTTCGTTCAGCGGAACAAAGAGTAATCTTGACTTCCAAAACAAATCACTCGCCAGTATATTAATTTTACTTATAAAACAGATGGCAGCACAATATTTAAACGTCATATCAATTGAAACATTTCTGCGATGTTCCCGAGACATTTCAGAAATAGTTAATAAAGGGTTTAAAACTTTTTATTTTAAATCTTTTTGATTCTCGTTATTAAAAGAAGAGTTAAAATAAAATACACGTATATTACTAAAAAAATGTTGAGCACTTCATTTCAGAAACACGCACTATTGTAAAATACAGGGTGTCCCAAAACGACCGCAAAAACTCTGCACAGCTAGATTCCTCATTGGGAGTACATAAAAACTGCCCAAAGAAGCGTTCCTGTACGATCCATAGTTTACTAGGAAAATACGAAAAACAAAGTATGACGTCACTGCCGGTGCAAGAAAAAAAACCACTTTATTGGACATATCAACAACAGTATTCGCATATCTTTCTAGACGATAATGCTTAAAATGTTAAAATCTTACATCTGCTTNGATGTTTTTTGCAATTTTTTTTCTCGGAGGGGTGGTCCGTGACTTCTTAAAAATTTTTAAAAGGGGTTCATTGTATCAAAAAGGTTAAGAAACACTGTTCTAGATGATAATGTTTAAAATGTTAAAATCTTACATCTGCTTTAAATTGTGCATAGTATACTGTTGTTGATATGTTCAATAAAGTGTTAATTCTTGCACCGGCAGTGGCGTCATACTTTGTTTTTCGTATTTTTCACGTAAACTATGGATCGTACAGGAACGCTTCTTTGGGCAGTTTTTATGTACTCCCAACGAGGAATCTAGCTGTGCAGAGTTTATGCGATCGTTTTAAGACACCCTGTATATTGCTTTAAGTTTTTCATAAACTGATTTGCGACTCAGTTCTCAATAATTAGATATGCTTCCTTTGCTTCAAGGTAATAAATAACCATAAAGGAATATCATACCCATAAAGTCCTTTATTTATTTTCCAGGTATAATGCAACAAGACAATTCAGAGCAAGTGATTCTCGAACCAAAAGAGATCGCTCGCACCTACATTCGCACTTGGTTCTTCCTAGACCTGCTGAGTTCGATCCCCTTCGATTATATCTTCCTGATCTTCAATCAGGGTTATGGTGACAACTATCAGCTACTGCACGCGGGAAGGGCGCTGAGGATATTACGTTTTGCGAAAATGCTCTCCCTCCTTAGGTTGCTCAGGTTATCAAGGCTGGTGAGGTACGTCAGTCAATGGGAAGAAGTATATGTAAGTATTCCTCTGCCTTAACTTTTTCACAACACTGTTATTAACAATTGGTATTTCCCAAACTTTTCACTGGTATTTCCTAAACTTTTCAATGATACTTAATTGTTAATTTACAAAAATAAATTAAGGATATTGATAACACAATCGTGAGCAATTCCAAGGTTTAAAAGTTTGACTTAAGTTAAAATTTCAATACTGAAACACTATGACTATTTGTAGTGGAATCAACAGACAATGTGAAAAACTCCAGCGCTATTTATGAGATTATTACAATACATTGGAATCTTATTTGTCTATTCAAATTTATGCTCTGCCACACATATAATTCTATTATTTTAACAAAACTCTTACATTTATAGTAGTGAAATAAGAGTTAAAATGTACTACTTCGAATTCAAAAACGATATTTTGTTTTTACTTCCATTAAATTTATATATGTGCAAAGTTCTTAACGAATTTGCTAGTTCTATGGTATTCACTTATTTTTTTTATCAAAGTATGCGCATTAAATATGAAGCCAACTTAATAAATAATAACTTTAAAGAGATGAAAAAGACTTTATAATATATTTGTTTTAAAAAAAAACTTCTGACATTCCCGAAATGTATTTCAGATGAGCTTTCTTATTTTTCCATTTCCGTACAATATTTCTGCATTCAATGCAGGTTTAAAAAAAAGAAAAAGTATTCGAAATGCACTTCAAGAATATATTGTATTCTGAATAATAATACTATTATAGATGAAATACAGATAAAAGACTGTTTTGAACAGGAATGTTAAGTACAATAAATGATTGATGAAATTATATATATGTTTAAAATTGATCTGAATTTTATAGTATTTTAAAATATGAGGTAGTTTAAAACAGTTTAGAGAATTTACAACAAATCTAGTAAAACCTGATCTTTATCAGTTTTTTAATTATTTCTAGTTATTTCTTTAACTAATATATTACAAATGACACTCAAAACTAAAAATTCAGTTCCATACCTCACGAATGGCTAATAATACTGATTATTTATAAATTCTTTGCAAATATGAAAAGATATAATTAAAAAAAAATACCAAATTACTTTTAAAGTTAATATTTATATTATTTTCCATCCAATGGCAAAATAAAGTCGTTTTCTATTGCATTCGTACCTAACACATCAAGTATGGATATAGGTGTTTAAAATCAACAATTGCATTTACTTAGGGTGGCTATTTAAATATTTTTTATTCTTATAAATGTATCAAGAACTGTCCATTTTAGTTGTAATGGTTTCAAAGCAGTTATATGAATGATTATACTTTAAAACTATTGGAATTTAAAGAGCCTGGTTGCTATTATTGGATTTTCAAAAACTAATAAGTGTCAAAATAATGCCCTAAAATATGCGATTAAGACAGAACAGACCACTTTTTGGTCTATTTTATTTTTATCATCATTCATGCGACAGACCTGGATGGGCCTTGGCCTTCCTGTACTTCTTCTTGTAGCTATTCCATGCAAAGTTCAGTACCCTGATCCCCTTAAAATCTGCATTAATCCATCCTGAATCGATAATATCCAGTGTCAAACCATCAAATTTTGGACCTTCTCTGGCTATACTACCAATCAGTTTATGTTTGAAAATCTAACGTGCTGGGCTATTTTAAACGACAAATTTTGCCCTATAAATTTTCTCTTTGACTTAATTAACTTTATTACACCAATATTTTAACAAATTTTGTGAATTTCTGTATTCGCTATTCTTCTGTTTAAATTACTATTCATGACACAGCCGAAATATATTGTTTTAATCACTAAATTTAGATTTAAAAGCAAATTTCCTTTTTAAAATAAAATTCCTGCATATATTTAACAATTTAAGATCACTCATATTTTTAGCCAAAAAAAAAAATTTTTATGTACTAAATTTACACTTAAAAGCAAGTTCATTTTTAAAAAAATCCCGGCATATATTAAGTGATTTGAAACTACGCATATTTTCAGCCAAAAGATTTTGTTTTAACTACTAAACTTAGATTTAAAAGCAAATTCATTTTTTAAAAAAATCCCGCATATATTTAACGATTTCAGACCACTCATATTTTCAGCCAAAAAATATCGTTTTAACTAATAAATAAGGCAAATTAATTTTAAAAAATATCCTTGCTCATGTTTAATGATTTGAGGCCACTCATATTTTCAAAACACCAATCACAGTAGTTCTTAGACATAATATTTTAATTAAAAAACATTACATTATATTTCACACATAATATCGTATTTTTATTGAAATATATTACATTATATTTCATACATAATATCGTATTTTTAACATAATGTTTTACTTTGTATTTATATTTTAACGATAAAATGGCATGGTAAACCAAGTTTATATTAAAAATTTTACCTTACTATATTTATTAGATAGCTAGAAAGTTTGCGTTCTCCGAAAGTTTTATTTTCAATTAAAAATAGTTAATTTAAAAAGTAGAAAATATTTTCTAAGTGAGAATAAAAAAATGGAAAGATACTCTTTAGTGAGAAAATATTGATCTCTCCCTTATGTCAGACAACACTGAAAATGTTTTAAAAATTTCTATCTTCTTTACTTTGCTCAAAATAAAAACGGAGGCACTCAATAACTTCTGAAAATGTGAACAGAATTTTACGTTATAAGATACAATTTTTTAAATTCAAGAGGAGAGCCAAAAATATGCTAAATATATTTCCTTACGGGAAATCTTTGATAAAAGAGCTTTACAATTGTGCGCTAAAAAGTTTGTGATTCGCTTAAAGAGTTAAAGATACATGGCGAAAAAAAAATGCGAATAAACATAAGCATAAGAAACACTGAAATTTGCTGTATACTTCAGCCAAATGAGTCAGAGTCCAATTTTGTTCGTTCTTAGAATTTTTGAGTACGTCTGAGTACCTAATAAATATACTTTTGAGTATTTGTGTACCTAATAAGGAGTTAAAAATAATTTATTAACGATATAAAAGAGGCTCAATCATTCTAATTCTACTGGATTTTTTGTTGTCTATTTAAATAAATAGTTTCTGATTTAACGAATAATATGACTCTTTGAACGAATAATATGATTTAACGAATGATATGATTTAACGAATGTAATGAAATCTTTAATTTTTCATGTACTTTTGTTGTTTACATAACTAAATTTGTGATCCTTAAAAATAATAATGATTATAGTTTGTAAGAAATAAACTGGAATACTCTTATTCAATCAAATTAAAATTATGGCACTAAATAGATTTGTTTTAATTTTTTTTACTTTCCATATACAATAAATATAACTTACGATAATTATTTGCCGCATTACGGGTGTGTGTACAGTGTGCAAAAATATAAATCAACCACCCTGAATAAGTTTTAATCTAATGATTGGAATTTCATGTTCTAGGATTCAATCTTAATGGTTCGAGGGGGTGACCTCTTATATGCTAATTAATTACTGCAGACAATATTTTAAGTTACAGTATCAGACACAAAAACGTACTTTCTCTGAATAAGCATACCTTTTTCATGATGGATTTGGATTGCCTAAACCGCAAAATATAGGCATTATCCTCAATCTGGAAAATACGTTCCCAATAGTTGGGAAAGGTTCCCAATAGTTTGGATCTCTTAATGCTAATTTTCATTTTTGCGTACTCCATGTCTCGAGGCCTTTTTAAGCGAATTAAAAAGTATGCAATTTTAAATGGCAAAATAATATAAAATTTGAACAAAATCGGTCGAATAATTCCTGAGAAATCGAATATCGGAAAAGTTGTATTTTTAAAATTTGATTTCTCAGGAACTATTTGACCAATTAGCTATTTAAATCTTTTAGATTGAGTCCTAGAACGTGAAAGTATAAAAATAAGATATAATTTATATAAAGTAAGGTATAATTCGTGAGATCCATAAGGTATAATACGTGAAGATATAATTCATATGAAAGGAAAGTATACTTACGGAATTTTTTTCTGATCTAATTTTTGTGGTTAAAATTGACACATTTATAGCACATATACTAAAATTTTAATTTAGTCTTAGAAAGACATGCTACAGCGATTCCCAGAAAAGAATAATTGTTACGTTTTTCCGAAATTCCTCAGAGCCACTCTAACTCTTGCCGTCATTCTAATCATAATTTTCAATATTTACGCATCTAATAGGCTTCAACATAAATTAATAAATAAGTACTTCAATTGAATCATATTATGAAGCATCAGAAAATTACACTACTTATAGTTTATTTTTTTAAATTACTTTTTCAAAAAAGGAAGGTTTGCACAAACCAACTCCGTCTGTCATTCTAGTGTAAGGAATCCAAACTTTCGACCGGTTTCCTGGCCAAACTAACTATTCAGTACGTCTCTTCCGGAAGGCGATTATCCACTTTCTCCTTTTTTTTTTGAGAATCAAAAATACAAATCCGTTTAAAAAAAGGCTAATTTTAATTACTCTACTTTTTTAAGTTTAAATCGAATATTTAATCAGTAAGCTGAAGCTTTCGTTATAACATGACATTAAAAATAATAATTTTCTTTTAAAAATAGACATTGAAAGGAATTGCAGGAAACTTTTTTTCCAGCATTTTTTGTCAGACTTTAAAATATTAGTAATGTGATTAATTTATTTAAATAACGGTTTAGTTTGCCGATTAAAAAATGTCCACGCTTTTTGCTTAGAATATAATTTCATAGAACAAAAAATTCTTTGATAGTAATGGATTTATTTGTTTATTTAAAAAGCTACGTTACCTCTCCTAATTATGAAAATTCTATGCTTAATAAAAAAATCAAGTAATGAGATTATAACAAACTTTTTTCTGGATATAATTTAAAAATTTCTATGTCATTTTTGAGACTTAAACTTGACAAATTAATTATCCGTATTGATTTGGAATTAAACTTTTCTATGTTTATCTTGTCACTTTCAAAATTATAATTGCAAACGAAATTTTTTTTTCTTGCATCTAATCTTCAAGATGATCAATCAAAAACACATAAAGAAAAC